CTTTAGTTGGTGATCATCTCCTCTATTCTCATAACTGTCATGTTTGATTCAGGGGGTGATATAGTGAGGAGAAATTAGATGCTAGTCACTCTTAGAGACTAAAGGGTTAATGGGCCTTAAGAAAGGGTGCTTATTCAAGGCTGGAGGTTCATCAGATTTTTACCATTTTCAACAAATAATAAAATGGTGAATTTAGAAATCGTAATCCAGAAAAAAAAAAAAATTTAAAAATGCTCTACTTGTGAACTTCAGTTTTCTCTTTGAAGGGGGAAAGGGGCCTGGGGAAGGAGGGACTTTACAAAGCTAGGCACTCGTCAACTTTTTCTACCTACAGTATGGGCATGTAGGTATTCCAACAAAACACTTTTTCAAGGTTGGCAGGTTCATCAGTTGACAACAATAACTTAAAGTAAATATTGCACTTAACATACAGTTACAAGCACTACATGTACAGTGTCTTGCACACTAGGGCAACTTACCTTTGTGATGAGGTCTTTCAACTGAACATCAGACAAATGATAACTGCTATCTCTCTTGCCTTGTGGAAAACTCAAAAATCGTCTTGGAGCAGAGCGGCTCAGGGCCTTGGGCAGCTGAAGTTCAGTAGGAGTGGCATGTCCAGAGTTGTTTGGAAACAACAGCTTTGTGATCAGGGAGGGGTCAGACACATACACACTGGAGACACCAAGGGCTTGAGCCACACCCAACAGGAGAGGAACAGTTGTGCGACAAAAATTTGCTGGATGAAAGTAACAAGCAAGGATCAGTGGACTGTTACAGAGGTTTTGATTGGTGAGTTATCCTCAGCAATATCTCCAAAAGCAATCATTGTTTTTAGTTATACAATATTTACTTTATAATAATATTTGAGAAGTATAGTGTGGTAGTTTTAACCCTATTAACTCCCAAGATCTCATTAGTAATTCTCCTAACTGTCCGCAATACAGTTCTCATGATGTTTGTTTGGAGAATTTGGTATTGGATCGACTTATACTCCCTTAATTTATATTTTTCTTTATTCTCATCACTTATCTGCTTGATATTGTATTGATATTGTAAGGAGAAATTATAGCATCTTGTTTCTCCTTACAATTTTACAGCTGAATCTAACATAAAGCTTGCGAGAATAAAGGATATGATCAGCAAGTAAAGAAGGCCTTGATTAATAAGCAAACTATCCTTGTCAGCACCTTAGGGAATGTCTATAGAACATTATGGAGAATAGGCATGCTGATTTTAGGATAGAAAGGGTTAAAGATGGTCATGAAACAGCTTACAGAATTCTGAATTTTTTTGAAAAGTATTTATTACAACATTTTACCTTTTTTAAGGTCAGGGAGCTCTTGATAACTGCAGCACTGTTCAATTACAGTATTGAACAAGTTAAGTTGCAATTTGATGATGTCTCCATCCAAGCTGTTGTCTTTTGCTGCCAGCCCACTCATAAGTGTCACGAAACAGAATGCAAATTCTCCTGCTAAAGGGCTGGTAGGCAACAGCTCTGGACCTCGCGCTTCCAGCCATTTGGCAGTTGGTAAACTCTTGAGAACATTCACCAAATAAGGCATGATTTTCTCCTTGTACTGCAAGTTGGAATGGAGTTCAAACAATCCCAGAGCAAGAACTCCATCAGTACCACGTTGATCAAAGACAAACAATTCAGTGTCTGAAGCAGGATTTGCCGGGCACAGACGGCTTAATCTCTTTACCTAGTAAAGAAAATAAATAACAAATAATCTTAGTTCTCGTGGAGGAGTGGGTAATTTTACCTAAAATTCATGCGCAAGATAAACTGAAAATATAGGTTAAGAGAAATAATTATTTTCTAGAAATTTAACCCTTTCACTCCCAAGATCTAATAAGTAATTCTCCTTACTATCTGCCATACAATTCTTATGATGTTAGTTCAGAGAATTTGGTATTGGATCAACTAATAATCCCATAATTGATATTCTTCTCTGTTCTCATCACCTATCTGTTTGATATTGTATTGATATTGTAAGGAGAAATTGTCACGGTCACTTGTGAGAGTAAATGGGTTAAAGTAAAATTCAAGGTTTAAAAACAACAAACAACAAACAAAAAACAGCATAGCACCAGAGGAAAAATAAAAATATATATTCCTGCTAAAACAAATAACAGACACCCTTAGCGCTGAAGTGAAAGGGTTGTCTGACCCACTTCAGTTTCCTCATTTGATATTTTATGTGTGTTTAGTTTGTTTGTTATGGGTTTTACTTCTTGCTCAAAGAACTCCTCTTAGGTATCTGCAATTCGGCTTTCTCAAGAAAAGCCAAATAGTAACAATAAATGGAAGCTTAAGATTATGAACATTAGCAGACCATGTAAAACGTCCAGTATTATTGATGTGATTTTGTCTCAAATACAAGTCTCCTTCTCAAATTTAATATTTTCGACTTTCAAACATTTTTAAGTTTGATGCTGTAGACCATTTGATCTATCTTCACGTCGTTGATCCAATCACATAAAAATTTTGAGCTGAAATTCGAGTTCGCATACCTAAGTAAACATACATGTAAGCTGAAGTTTCCAATCTTTCACGTGAATATTCAAAATAATTTCAACACATTTCTGATCATTTTGTACCCAATGTAAGCAACGAATACATCGTTTTCCGAAAAATTTCCGATCTTACCTTTTCCCAAGGTGCTGGATTTAAAGCAGCCAAGGAACATGCTAAATGCCGCAAAGATTCGGCTGGTTTCGTCCCATTGACCGCCATTTTGTTTGTGAGTAATAAGCCACCGGTGGGCTCCGGGTTGATGCGAAAACAACTTCGTCAAACAATCGGAAAATCCGAAAATGAACGACGATGACTCGCGCGCATTCCCGGAACGAAACGCTGTTCGCAATAGGGCAGAAGCAGGCAGAAGGCAGTAACTTTTTCGACAGGTTCTCAACTGAAGAAAATTGGACAAATTTTGAAAGCTTCTGACCACGATGGCCGGTTTTAACCCACGAAGTAAGACATGTTTTATTATGTTGTTCTCTTTACTGTCTGCGGTTGGCGATTGAAAGATCTGAAAAAATGCATATGGCCCATAGATGCATTTTATATCGTCAAAAGTTTTGACGATATAAATTTCCTTGCCTGAATTCAGCGATTTTCAAGATTCACTTCCGCACAGTCGATCATTTGTGTGTGTGTACAGATTTCAGAGTAGACAAGCATACATGCGCTCTTAGCTTTTATCTGCGAACGAGTTCAATTCGATTCAACCGTGAAAGGAAGAGCTACAGCTACGTGTTTCGTAATTCGCACGAAAAAAAATGTGCTTATACTTCAAAATAGTTTTCATGTACGGTAATTCGCGATTGGTGTTATTGGTTTGTCTTGAATCTCAATTCAAGTTCATAAATCGATTACTTTGCAACAATCTACTGAGATATTAGTCAGAATTACGTTTGTTTCTGCATGTGCGTCGGTTGGGAACAGCGCGACCAATTTGTAGTTCTCAAAATCACTCGAAACCTCTGGTTTCCCCTGACTTATTTATTGCTTTTATATTTTTATTCTTGGCTTTAGTCAGAAATCGTAACTATATATAATCAAAACTTCAGAGAAGAATTTGCGATTCGCACAATCCAGACATTCAGATTTCACATTACAATTTGCTCAACTTCCGCTTTTTATTAGGACGTGTGTCTTTTTCAAAGTCAATTCCTCTTCTGAGATTGATAAGATCTATGGAATGCACAAACCATTTCATTCTTGTTGTCTCACCAATTTCCTAACTGTTGCCGAATTACCGTCAAAAGTAAAGAGTAACATGATCCCCCCTGATATTTTAATAACGTTTTCAGTCACGCGAATGCTCCAGTTTGCGTCCCCCTCCCCTCTTCGTCCCTGCATCCTTTTCGAGATAACTTATAGAGGTGGGGGTGGTGGGGGTTGCGAACTACAAAAAACAAAACAAAACAAAAAAAAAATATATATATATATATATTGCTTGGGAAAAGCTTGCAAAACAAAAGTACGCTTAACCATGCACGAGCCACTCAGAGAGGCGAGAGGGAAAAAAGGAAGGGGAGAATCTAGGGAGCAGGGGGGAGGGGGTAAAAATCCTACCGAGGAAATTTTCACAAACGTGACATATGGATACATTGTAATGCTACTAATGCTTCTAACCTTTCCTCATAGCTTGAATAGTGAACGATCATCATATTAATATTGTTATTTTGCAAAAGCAGACAGAATGGAGGCGTTCAAGACAGGCAAACCAGAGGATAAAGAACTTCTCAGCTTGGCCCATGAAATTGTGTTAATCTGGAGACCACTTGGTGTGATTTTAGGCCTAACAAATGCAACTTTGGATGTAATTGACCAAGACAGTCCTAAAGTGCTGAATAAATCGTATGACATGCTGATAAAGTGGAGGGAGTCACTTGGATCTGAGGCGACTTATAAAAACTTAGCAGTGGGGCTAGATCACGAAATTATTGGAAGGCATGACTTAGTAGAGAAATACTGTCATGAAAGTGGTAAGTAACTCAACACAGGAAAATATTTCATATTCCAATGAACCAGCAACGATTCCTCAAAGCATTGTTGCCATAAGACTGCACATATAGCAATTGTGGCTGTAGCAATTGTGGAATAAGCAATTCCAGCATTTTGGAAATCTATTAATAATATGCAGTACAAGCAATATACTCAAATTAAAACAAATTATTTTATTTAAGTCTTGCTTCAAATTTAATGCCTTTTCTGGAGGATTTCTCTTACTAAATTAAGGTAAATACAATATCAATTCATAACATAATTGGGCTAACTTCCCTTCAAAACACAACACTGGCTATTGAGAAATGGAGAATAGGTCTCTATATTAAAGAGTGTCACTGACTTCAAAACCACCAGACTGGATTGAAAAAGAAGAGTCAATGGTTACTGAATCTGTCTCCATTACCAGATTCCTCTACATCTGAATCCTTGCTCTAATGCTGGTCCAGCTTCTTATTGCACAAACTATTCTCTCTCTTAACCTTTTCACTCCCAGACCAAATTTGTAATTCTCCTTACTGTCAACCATACAATTCTTATGATGCTAGTTCAGAGAATTTTGTATTAGATCAACTAATTATCTCCAAATTGACAGTTTTCTTTATTCTCATAACTTGGCTGGTTGATATTGTAGAGATGTTGTAAGGAGAAATTCTGTCTTGGTCACTCATGGGAGGTAAAGGGTTAAGATTCAAGAAGTCAACCTCACCACCTTTCATGGGACTTTTTATCTCAGTGCAGCCTTGACTTATAACTGCTGTTGCTATCTTTACAGGTAATTGATATGATAATGATGATGATGATGATGAACAATATTTGATAGTTTATTTCTTGGCTGAAGGATGAAGATGCTTCACAACTGTCACATGTCACATGTCACATGGAACAAAATCTCAGAAAAGTTAGAACTACAATAGCAGCACTTTTATTGCTGATATCATCCAGTTTTGAACTTGCTTGACAGCTGTTTACTTTTCTAACTGGACCAAAATCTAGTTCATCTATAGAAGGAAGAAAAAAACAGGAACAGAGTAAGAACCATGGCATGACCCTCTTTTGAATGATTAAGGTCATTTAATTAGTTTTTAAACTTTGCATGCATTAAGGCACATTTGTTAAGGAGACAATTTTTATGCTTAATGGATTACCTTCTTCATCACCACTATCACAAAGCTTTCTCTATTTGGCTCTATTTGGCTCTTTTTGCAGCATGCGTTCAGCCTGTTTTATATTAAAAATAAAAAAAATAAAAAAAATTGTAAATCCACAACAATAAAAATGTACTTCATAACATACCTTTCAAGAAATCTGCAGTTAAAATGTTGTTTACCTATGGGATTTACTTTGAACTCCCAATAATACAAATGACAGGGTTACATGACTATACATGTTTACAAAAAGCCCATGTGTTACTGATGAACAACATAAACAGCCCAACAAGGCTACTATACTGTCAACAGTTATGAATGTATAAGAATTTTTTATATCAACTATAGGTGCAACTGCTATTACTGATTCACCTCAAAGTCATAGCCATCCCTAGGATGCTAGTTCTTTTCATGCACCCATTGGATACTGTGAGACCTGATACACTCTGAAAATAACAACATATTACACACTGGTAATGGCATTTATATCCAAATACAGTTAGGATTATTCACAGTACAGGTTCTGGAAGGGGTTGCATGCTGTGTGTGAGCTGGCTGAAATTTGGTCACTGATTTGGGAAAATGGATAAAATTCAAGCATGATTTGTGAATTTTAGGTCAGCTGAAATGCATGATCTACTCAATCCGCAGGCCATGTTTCAAACAGATATATTTTCATGACAATCAAACCTTGTGTAGCCAGTGAGAACCAGAGGAATTCCTTATGTGGTTTTGGCCCTTGGCAAATCTCTATGTGTCCCACAAGTGAAATATATGTATATGAAAAAAATCTAACCAGTTGAATTAATTGTTTTTTCTTGTTGTTGTTGTCTTTTTTTGGTGTTGTTTTGTTTTGTTTTTTTTTAATAACTCCAATATAAGCAGTGAATGTGACATTTACTCCATCCAAAGCCAATCTTGGGTATTGTACAACTTTGCTCTAGCCTTGAAACAAGTTCCTCGAGTTTTAAATTCTGGGTAAAGTTGTTTTGTACTAAACACTGCAATTGCCAGGCCACACCTTAGCAGCTTCACAAACAATGAAAGATGTCCTAAACTTTTGAGGGAAAAAAATATAGTGCAGAACTGAGACCACTGCATCACTTTCTGAGCTTTTAAAATTACCTGTCAAAGCAAGTTTACAGCTAAAACATGTGAAATAGTGAAACAGAATCTAAGCTCAGTTTCACTGAATCAAGACGCCATTAAAGATCGGTCTGTTCTTAAAATTACACTTACTTTTCTAAGTACAATGTCTTTGATTTGGCATCCCAATCTTTTTTATCCAGAGTTGTTATTTTTCTTTCAAGTGAGGAATTTTCCAATTTTGAATCCACTTCTGTAAGGGTTTTCCTTTTCTTGAGTGTTAATTGCTTGTTTCATATTTGCCAGAAGCTCCATTTGTCAGCCCATTAAGGCTCTACAGCAATGTCCTTGTCATCATCTTTTTCACTTAGCAACAATCACCTATTATATAAATAATAAAGAGAAATGTGAATACCTCAGCAAACTTTGCAGGTTATTTCATCAAATCAACAGATCTGTTTGTGAAAAGTCATGAAATTATTATTTGGGCTTACTCAAAAACAGGGCAGCTTCTCCTTAATTCCCAGGGAAGAGAGCCAGTTCTATATGTCCTCTATACTCCAGCCTGAGTCAATACTGTGTAGAAATCACAAGCTTACATTTGAGAGGCAAAGCGGGCATGAATTGAAAAGTTAGCTTGAATTTAGTGCTTTGCATGTGTCCAGCTATTATAAACCAAAGAAAGACTGAACTTATTCAAATTAATTACTGACAAAGGCATCAAACTTTGTCACATTTTAAGCACCTCCTTCTTAAGAGGGGATGAAAAAAAACTCTATGGTTAACTGTAACAAATTTGGTAAAATTTCCTCGCAGTCCCATTCTATTGTAAAACAAATCTGTTTTCCAAATGGCAATGTATTGTTTTTTTTTTCATTGTTTTCTCTATCCAAGAACTGAATGCATAATGAAGTATGGGGCTGTGCGGAAATTTTACCCTCAAGCCTAACAATCTACGTTTACAAAGGTCACAGAAGCAATTTCCACTCGGGAACGAAATTGAGAACACCACTCTACCTTTCCCTGAAAGACTTTTTTTTACTTTCTTAAAACAACAGCGGAAGAGACTCGTGAAGAGTCGAAACCGTCGGTACTGCTGTAACCACCATTAAAAGTTACACCAATTTGACTGCCTTCGACAACTCTCTGACGGAACACCTTACTCCAAGCAACCATAAATAGCAAGCGGAAATGGTCTCCTTTCTTTCGTCTGGCCTTCTCCGCGAACAGGGGTCGAGATCAGACATAACATCGTAAAACTAACAAGTCATATTTTGTCTCGTTTTCTGTGCATGCCTCAGTATACCCCAATAGCTTACTTGGGCCTTCCAATTCCTTTTTAACAACCTCTTTAACATCTTTTCAACCGAAATAGTGTCATCCTTGCAATAAACTTCGAAATGGCGTAAACGTTCGTCGAGTGTTCGGTTACTCCAGGCGAATTGAGGAAAGTTCTTCCGCAAAAAATCGATCGCTTCTTCGCGTTTTAGGCCTTGTTTGACGTACTTCTGCAACTCACCTTTAAGAAGATCGACTTCCTTCCACGACGAAGACCTCCTATCCGTCATCTTCGAGAGAAGGACCTAAACGATAACATGAGAACTGTGCGAATGTCAACTTCCCGCCTTATCTACGATACACGCAATGCATGCTGGTGGTAGCAGCTCTCAGCTGAGTCGAAAAATTTCATTTTATGTTACTTCGATTTTATTTTAATTTAAATTTCAACCGATTTTACTTTCACTTTAACTAAAAAAAAAAGTAAAGATTAGAATTATGAAAAAAAAAGATTTGTAAATAAAAAAAAAAAACAATAAAATAAGAAATAAAACAATTCGTCCATCAAAATACGGATTTTACTATTGGCAGTTATCGGCCACCATACTTTTGCTATGGTGCTGAATATAAAGCAGCCAAGGAGTTTGTGAGTTCGTCAAACGATTGGAAAATCCGAACATGAAAGACGGAGATGACTCACGCGCATTCCAGGAAATGGACCGGAAACAAACAATTTCAAAGAAAACTTTTCTGCTTCAGAATATCGCAGTCAGTTCAAAGTCCGTTGTCGGTCCTGTCTCGAAATTCAAGATACGGCTTCTCTAGTTGTCATATCTCAGTTTTATCTTCACTCATTTGCAAGTTACCGCCTTCTCAACGGAAGAAAATTGGACAGTTTCTGAAAGCCTCTGTTCACGATGGCTGATCGTAAACCACAAAGTAAGACATGATATAATATAATTTTTTTCTCTATTACCTACAGTTGGTGGTTGATAGATCTGAAAATGTCGAGTGATACATGATTTCGACGACGTAACTTTCCTTACCTGAATTCAAGAATTTTCAAGATCCACTTTCGCACAAGCGATCGCTTGCATCTGTGTACAAATTTCGAAGTAAACAAGCATACAAGCGCCCTTCTATCTACAAACGAGTTCAATTCGATTCAACCGTGAAAGGAAGAGCTGTTTCGTATTTCACTCAAAGAAAAATGTGCCTTATGCTTCAAAATAGTTCTCGTGTAAGATAATTCGCGATTGGTGTTATTGGTTTGTCTTGAATCTCAATTCAAGCCCCAAAATCGCTTACTTTGCAACAACCTACCGATACATTTGAGTCACAAATGTGCGACGGTTGGGAACAGCGCGACCACATTTGCAGATCTTAAAATCACTCAAAAGCTCTAGTTTCCCCTGACTTATTTGCTGTTTTTACCTTTTTTTCTCGGCCTTAGTCAGAAATCGTAACTAAGATAATCAAAAAACTGCAGAAAAGAATTTTCAATTCGCACAATCCAAACATTTGAGTAGTTGATTTCATTTAGATTTCACATTACAATGTAGATCAACTTCCGCTTTTTATTAGGAGTGTGTTTAATTAAGTGTGTGTTTCTCAAAGTTAATTTATCTTCCGAGATTGATCAGATCTGTGTAATGCACCAACCATTTCATTCTTGCTGTCTCACCAACTCCATGATTGTTGCCGAATGAACCGTCGAAAGTAAAGAGTAAAACGACGACATCATGCAAAGAACTGAGCGACATGACTCCGACATCTTAATAAGCGTAGGCTCCAGTTTGCGTCTCTCCTGTCGGACAAATCAGTTGATACTTTCCATTGACTTTTAGAAATAAATCAAACCTTTTACTTGTGCAATTCATATAACACATGTTCGCGAAACTCGAACTCCCTACAATAAACAACCATCTCCGACTGAATTTCGTGACGTTTGCTAAAGTACAGTGCGATTTGCTTATCTGGCCAAACTGTCATCATTCGTGTCGCTTTGCGAACTTGATCGACATTCATTGGCAAAGATTCAATTTGCAATAAGTTGATGAGTCTGACCTCATCGACTTCTTTGTTTGCTTTGTCGCTGTGTATCGGCAAGCGGGATAGAAAAATCGGCGTTCGCATATTTAGTTGTCGAACGGTACTCGATATGAATGAGATGCTAATAAGCGCCTTCTCGGCAGCACATTTCGGCGCTCTGCAAATTTGCACTAGTTTTTACCTTATCGCCTCTACTTAAAGAACGCAGAATTATCTTGATGGCTAGATATTCGGGTGAAGCTTTTAGAGCAATTTCAGCTTGTTCTCAAAAAAGCTCGCCTTAATGTGAACCTTTGGGGAATGTTGTGTAAACTCGGAATTTCAAGAACTAAGCCAACGCGACGGGGATGTAGAGCTGGATTCAGGAAACAGAAACTACCACAACCGCCCATTCTACTAGCATCTTCTACACCTAATGGTCCACCTTCCTGTACATTAAGATCTGAACGGGATTTTATTTCTCTGTCTCAAGATGGGGGACATTTAAATATTTCTACATGGACAACATTAAATATTCAAGTCAACACCTTGGATGCAGTCAGGCAGATCGCTCAAACAACAACTCCTGCCCTCACCTTTTGTAATAGGCAACACCTTCATGAGTCGCCTAATTGTGAAAGAAAAACATACCCGTTAGAATATCACAGAACAGCATGACGCGAAATCGAAATAACGCACAAATTCAACCTGTACTTGGAGGAGCATGTGCAAGAATTGTCCCCTAGTCAGCTGGTCAAACCGCGAAGGCGTGCCGACTTCCGAGTTTCTGCATGGTTAACGCCTGATCGATCAAGAAAAAGCTCGATGAATTTTCTGTACAATTGATGACGAGCGGCGTGGATGTCGGTGTTATTACGGAGTCCTGGTTGCACAGCTACATCGACAGTGCTTATATAAGTGATCCGGGCTATGTCCTTTACCGGAGAGATCGTCCTGACAGAGAGGGTGGTGGTGTCTGCGCTTTTGTCACCACAGGAATCCCGTGTAAGCGGAGAACTGATCTGGAACATCCTGTTTTCGAATGCATGTGGTTATGGCTTAACTGCGGGATTGTTTACTTTCCTGAGGCGCTAGCGCAAGAAAATAGTGATCGAGTGTCCTACCTGATAGAAACACTAGACTCTGTTAGGTCTGCGCATCCGGACCGCGGTGTCATTATTTGCGGTGATTTTAACACTTTAGACTTTAGTGACGTACTCGCCCATCATAAACTCAAGCAGATAGTTCGCGATCCCACCCGTGGAAATAGTATCTTGGACCTTATTCTAACGGACATTTGTAATCGTTATGATAAACCTGTTACAAGTGCAAACCTGGGTACATCAGATCACGGCTCTGTGTTTTGGAGACCTAAACCATCTCGTGATATTACGGTGCACGCCCATAAGGCCCTGAAACGAAGCGTACGACGGTTTCCGGGGTCGGCTATTAATGCTTTCGGGAGGTGGGTTCCTAGTCATCATTGGTTCACTGCTCTAGACAGGGTGGCTTCAGTTGACAGCTTAAAGGGGTCATTTAACACTGACGTGAAAACAGCAATTGATATTCATTACTAAAGTCGGTGAAAATCCATCCCACCGACAGACCCTGGATGACATCTCACATTAAGCAGCTCATTCTCGAAAGGCAGCGTGCGTTCCATTCTGATAGGAATGGCAGATGGAGAGAGAGGTGCGCCAGGGTGCGCAATGAAATTGCTGCCATGAAAAAAACCTTTTTCTCTGAGAAGGTTAGCTATCTGAAAAATACCGACCCACAGAAGTGATGGGTTCTCGTTAACAAGCTCTCCGGTAAATCCAGTGGCGTGAGTGCAATCAGTTATGAGGTCGACAATAAGGCATTGTCTGGCCTGGAGCTGGCAAATAGGCTTAAAACTTTTTTGTTTCAGTAACACCCGCACCGGACGAGTTACCTGTCATTCGCCCCACTGAAGTCTACAAAAACTGCTCAGGCTAAGTCCTTTCAAAGCTTGTGGTCCTGACGCGATTCCAAATAGAATTCTGAAGCTATTCGCGTGCGAACTTTCTGAGCCCGTGACCACTATCTTTAACTGGTCGTTGTCGTCTGGTGACTTCCCATCGGCGTGGAGAGATGCCTGTATATCACCAATACCGAAGGCGTCACCCGTCACCTGTGACAATGACCTGCGACCAGTAGCTCTAACTGCATGCCTTTCGAAGGTATTTGACGATTTTGTTGTTTAGTGGCGGATGCAATGATTTAACAAAATGTATGCCACTATCTGCGGGCGAGTTCCTGAAGTTGTTGGCTTGCTTATCAGCAACTTCCATTGCAAACGCCATTTCTACCGTTGTTTTCCACGGGAGACTTTTTTCTGCTCAGAGTCTTTTCTGAATTTGTCTGCATCTCAGGCCACATATGAATCGGTTTCTAAGGGCTTCCTCTAAAAATGCGCCGAAGGCACAATGTTCTGAACACTTCTTTAGGGCTGCACTGTACGCAGCCACACCTTCCCCCTCGAGCTGTTCGCGTTTGTGGAAGTGAAAGCGTTTAGCGATGACGATCGGCTTTAGCTCATAGGGATCTCGTAAAGTTGTAACGAAATCTGTAAACTTTACGCTAGATGGCTTCACCGGGGCTAGCAAATCCCTCAAGATGTTGTAGGTCTCACTGCCTGTCGAGGTCAAGAACGTGGCTAAGATCTTTTAATTTTCTTTGATTTTCGTTCGCGATCACGTATTGTTCGCAGTATGCGTTCCAGTCTTCTGAACTGGGGTTATAGAACCCAATCATTACAAGAGTGGCCATCCTCGTCGCCAGTTGTTGTGTATTAGGGTTCGTTGTATACTACTAAAGGGTAATACGTGCACAAACCAAGTGCTTTACACAACTTCTTTGTTAGAATAACAATGAACTTAATCACGTGGCTGCGGTCAAGGGGGTGTTAACCAATAGAATAAAGATTATGTAATAGCTAAAGTATTTAACCAATACGAACAAACACTACACTATTATAATTTATGTTCTGCAAAAACAGGCAGAGAGGAGGTGTTCAAGACAGGCCAACCAGAGGACAAAGAACTTCCCAGCCTGGCTTATGTAGTCGGAGGAGGGGGGAGAGGTAGAGAGATCCCACATAGGAAATTTTGACAAACGTGACATATGAATACGAATAAATCGTGGATTATTATTACTATTATTATTTTTGTTTTGCAAAAACAGGCGGAGAGGTATTGTTCAAGACAGGCCAACCAAAGGACAAAGAACTTCTCAGTCTGGCTCGTGAAATCGAGTCAATCTGGAGACCACTTGGTGTGTTTTTAGGCCTAACAAATGCGACTTTGGATGAAATTCACGAAGATAATCCTAAAGTGTTGGATAAATCATATACCATGCTAAGAAAGTGGAAGGAGTCGCGTGGATCTGGGGCGAGTTATCAAAACTTAGCTGAGGGGCTAGATAACGAAGTTTTTAAAAGGCATGACTTGGTAGAGAGATACTGTAACGACAAAGGTAAGTAACTCAAACTAAAAGAACGACCATGCTTTTTTTAATTTTTCCCCAGCTTTCCTTGATCGCTGATGCGAAACCAAAGTGAACATAAGAGGCGAATCAAGCTCAATCATCAGCCGCTAATCATGAAAATGAGCCCGCGCTCTGCGGATCTTAGGAAACAGCGGAAATCGAGCCTCCCGTCTCCCGAGTTCGGCTCGGCGTTGTTTCCTTCCCTATGAGAGACGGTTTTCTTCGGGAAAAGGAGCGCGAGGTTAAATCCCAAGCAGGGTTTGCCCGCCTTGTTTTAAGTAGGTCAGTGTGCGTCCAAACAGACAGCGGTTGCAGGTCCGTCTATCGGGCATATGTAATTTGCTAAATTGTGGCCAATTACGTGCCAAACTCTTGTCCCAAAATAAATGAAATCATAACAAACTCCCGGTGCCACTCCTCGAAAGCTAATACTTAGCTAGGGACGCGATTTCAGTCGAGAGAAAAAAGGCTAATGCCGAGATCTCGTATACAGTTCCGGTCCTTTTAAGGCGAAAAATACCACAAATGAGATCATTAGCATCTCACCTAACTTTATTGAGATATTCAAATCGAGACGTAATTTAAACATGCAATTTTCAGAGCTTTATTCATAAACCTCAGATTTTGTTCGTCTCACGTCAACAATCATCAACCACGAAAACAGTGTGGTCTGCCTATGGTCCCCTGAAGGTATCTCTCCCAAGCCCCAGAAAACAGCTAGAACAATGAACCGGCCAAAGCTCGATCGAAATCTCGATAGAACCGAAACCTTTCCATGCGGAGTCCAACTGGCTAAGCTTACTTTCATTACGGAGTAATTGGAAGATATTCTTCCTCTTTTCAATTTTCTCTTCATAGTCGCTGAGATAGCTCAAGATGGAATCGCCAGATTAGCAGTAGGACTAAAAGACGATACCAATCTTCAGGAAGGTAACGTATTACCTTCGTAAATGTACAAGAAGTCCAGGGAAATTAAGAGGACATGCTATATGTTGTTAACCCTTTACACTATATCATCAGTATTTGTATTTTCCATACTCTTACCCATAAAATTCTTTGCTGCTCACAAGGAGCAGCTTCTCAGGTTGACGATCATTTCCATAATTCCCTTGATCGTAATGAATGATTCAGAGCAGTATTGCTGTAAGGAAAAATTGGATGCTGGTCACTCTGAGGATTTAAAAGGTTGTCACTAATCTTTTTATTTGTCATTAGCTGAAGCTTCAATCACGAGAAGAGTTTTTCCTTCAGTGGGGATTCTACCTGGTAAACCATTTCACGTGACTCACAGACGAGGCAGAGAATTACAAAAGGTATACGATTTTTTCGTCGAATTAAGACAGAACGTTTCAAGCTCCACAGTCATTGGCTTGTACATTAAAGGTCCTCCCGGTTGTGGAAAGACACAACTAGCAAGACAGGTTGGAGAAGAGTTTATGCAAAACAATGCACCTGGGGGATGTTTCGAAAATATGCCTCGTGTCGTCGCTACGTTGCAAGCGAATAGCCCTGAGTCAATGTTACAATCATTCAAAGAGTTACACGAGAAGTTAGAAATCCCTAACGAACGCGAATATCAAGGAGGTGTCCGCGAGCAGATCAAGAGTTACGTGGAAGATTTTAAGAACTACCTTCGTAGAACAAAATCTGTCTGGCTTTTGATCGTTGATAACCTAACAGTCAGTGATCAAATGAGAGAATTCTGGCCATCTCCGGAACAGGAAAGCTCATGGGGGGAGGGAACAGTCTTGGTTACGACCCAGGATTCTGAACTCGCCCCCAGATCCCACGCACATGCCAGGGTAATCTCGCTGGATTCAGGGATGGAAGAGGAAGACGCTATGGAATTGTTACGAGTGATATCTGAAATGGATGTGGATGAAGATGCTAAAAAAGTCGCTAGCGTTCTTGGCTATTTTCCACTGTCTCTAGCTTGTGCAGCAGTTTATGTCAGGCAAATGAGTTTGGATCGCCCGGTTTCAAAGTTTTCTTGGAAAAACTATCTGTCGAACCTCCAAGAGTACTTCGCATATCTTGATCATTCTGATTTCACGCATCACAATCCATGTTATCCGCAGTCAATGATACGAGCAGCAGAGTTCGCAGCCATACGGATGGCCGAGAACAGCGAAGTTCTCCGGGCTGCCTTCGTGTTCCTTTCGTACTGCTCCTTACGACCCATTCCGTTGGACACTGTGGCTGATTACGTCTTGCGCGAGGCTAAAGCCAGTGGTAACGTTAACATTAGAGTGCCTGATGACGTCAAGCTAAAAATAGCAAGGTGTTCTTTGCTAATATATCCGAAAACAGGTGAAAGAGGAATCGAAGTGGTTACACTTCATCAAGTAATGCGGTTGGCGTTCTCTCAGATCAGACGAAAACAAGGCAAGTCGGGAAAAAATGTCGATAAATGTGAAGCTACTAGTGAGAAGAAAAAAGAGTTGAGTGGAGTACTTCAAGCCTTAAACGAAGCCTACAAATCAAAGAAAGGTGGGTTAAAAGAGCATGATCTTGCCATAAGGATTCTACTGTGTCCACACTTGAAAGAGTTTGTTGAAGAAGTAAAAGTGGTCCAGTGGCTTGAAGAAGATTTACTTGTAAAGGCGTTGGTTTACCTTGCAGATGGTCTCGTGCACGTTGCCGGGGTAACCGACAATTACCGCGTGGCTTTACTTGAGCGCGCTTACAAGATCAACAAACAACTGGGTTGTACTGATATCACCGCATGCAGGTTGCTTCACGACTTGGGTTACACGTACCGTGAGGCGGGCTTCCTGGATAAAGCGATTCCGATTCTGGAGGACGCCAAGAAGCTCTGCGAGACTGAAACAGATCCCATATGGATGGAAGAAAAATCAAAGGTCTTAAATGTTCTTGCGTTTACGTTTCGTGAAGGTTCTCAGCTGGACTTAGCAAAGAAGTACATGAAGCAATGCGTTGAAGTGACCCGGGAGGCTTATGGGAACAGTCACGTTGAGCTGGTTGAGAGAATGTGTAACCTTGGAATCATTTTGCATGATAGATGGGAAAACGATGAGGCTATACAAGTCCTGGAGGAGGCCAGAAAAATTATTGAAAATTGTGATTCGACTGAGATGTTCCTTCGTGGCCAGGTGTTGAATTACACAGCTAAAGTCCATCTGCGCTGGTATCTTGGCCTGCGTCACACGCATCCACATGAGCGCAGCACCAACATGCATCTGAGAGAATCGGCCACGCTACACGCGCAAGCGTTAAAAATCTACCTAGATCTTCACGGAGATAATCACAAGTTCCCCAACGGAGTTAGGATGACATACGGAACAGCAAAACTGCATTTAGGAGACATTGACGAAGCTTACGAGATGTGTCAGAAGGCCGTTGAGGTATACAGAAGCTCAGGACATATTGCGTGGCCGCGTGCGGGTACATTCCTCGCAGACGTCCTATTCACCCGTGGGGAATATCGACGCGCGAAGGATTTTCTGGAAGAGCTTGTACAAGTTCATAAGGATAAGAACCTCGTAGTGAGTCCCGGTGCCTATCATCCTAGGGCTCTCTTGGGTGAGGCTTTTGTGCACGTTGGTGACATGGACGCTGGAGAGAAGATCCTGGACGAATGTCTACAAGAGTGGAAAAAGAAAGGAATTCATCCAGAACATTACTGGGTAGCTCGTGTGCAAGCGTTTCTCACAGATCTAAGATCACGAGAGTCGATGAAATGCAGCGGTCAAATCTTCAATGAGCTGCCCGATCAACTGAATTGAAGAAAGATTTTATGAGCGCTTCAGAAACATACATAAGCCGGTAGAGTGGCTAGATTTTTTTTTTTATCTATGGCAAGTTTGTCGTCGACCTTCAACTAAACGTTATCGTGTAGGACACAATTCAGAAACTAGAACGTATCCGATATACTTTCGATGTTCTTCTTAAATGTAATTATCTCGCTAAATGCAACCATCTTCGGTAGAAGAAACTTTTATGAACTCTTCTCTACGACAGAGTGAACACTTGTGCACATGCACGTACAAGTCTAGCGCCGCACTTTGTGGCGTTTGAAAAGTTTTCGTGGCTTTTGTTTTATACTTACCGTTAGAGTTTTCTAGAAATTCTTTCAATTCAATTTGCCATAAAAAGGAATGCTCAACTACTTTGAAATATCTCAAGAACAGAGAATCAGAGAATCGAACACATTTAGTCTTTTATAACTACTTGTAAATCTTTTGATAAGAAGTACGCTTGTGCATGCCTAAATATAGCAACTACACTTCTGAAGGTCACGATACAAAGGCTAACTTTGCATGGTAAACTTCGTCATTAGGCGAGTTCCCTTATGGTCTGGTATCTAAGACTAAGGAGTTTTCTGAACATTACTGTAAGTTTACTTTCCCATTTATGACTACATTAGTTTTGCATCCGGCGCTTAACCAACGGCGCGGGGCGCTTATGCGTAGATATAAGTACCTCAAAGTCTTCTCTTTGTACGCCAAGAACTATCATCCTTTTACGGGAAATAAAATCATTTCCAATTAGCCACTGAGCAAAAGCGAAGGGCGTTAACAATTCGCGTTAAGGTAGGAACAGAAGGCGAGAAAACTCGCGGAAATAAGAATTTTAATGGACTTCATCGACAGGGATCAGCTGAAATATAGATTTGATCTTCTTGGCTAAGAAAGCAGGTCAACACAGCACAAGTTTGCGTAAATGTGATTAGTTGAAAATGGATTTAATCTGCCTAAGTAGAAAACACTCTGTACTTTATACGAAATTAACAAAGTGTCTGGTATATTGAAACAAATAAATTCGCACGCAGTAAGCGCTGTGTAGGGGTTATCACTGTTCGTCTGTTAACGAGCAAATCTCTTTTCCCTCCCACATCGGCAAAATCACAATTTCAGGTTCGTCCTCTTCATGTTCGCTTAAAATCTCCTTCTCTTTCCATACGTACTTTCCAATCTGCTCGCAACCCGAGTCGAAAACGTACCTCCCACGGCCTCTTGGCTTGTTTTCCTCAAAATCACCTACATATCTGTGGTTTGAGTGAATGAGTTGACCTTCATCGTGCATTTTGCCTTGGAACCATCTCCCATCGTAACGCGAGCCGGTTGCTTTGTACGTATAAACTCCTTGGCCGTGTCTACGCCCCTGTATCCATTCCCCTTCGTAGGTGTCTCCGTTGGGGTAAGTGTAAGTACCAAAGCCGCTTCGTAAATCGTTGATCCAGGACCCTTCATACTTGGAACCATCTGGATATAAGAACACGCCGTCACCATTTTTCTTGCTCTCTATGTAGTAACCAATGTAGCGCGCTCCATTTTTGAATCTTAAAGAGAGAAATATTTTGGTTTTAATCTCAGTTTTTAGATTTCCATTGCAAAATCTATAGTCTTGCAGGTCTTGTTGCGATGGCGTTAGCTCCTTACAGTTCCTAGAATTTGAACTCAGTCCTATCCAAAACGGTTCATCTGTAGTTTACTAATAGGTAGAAAACATTTTCTTCAGAAATTGGGGGGGGGGGGGGGGGG